CCTCCTTTACAGGGCGTTCGGTGGGTGGAGTGTTGAGCGCGATAGCCGGTAATCATTTCATAGTCGCCGGAGTCACGCCTAAGCGGGAACGTGGTCTCAAGAATGTGATCGCAGGGCTCCATTAACATTAGAATCCCCTTAACCTTTTTTTTACGCTCCTCGATCGGGACACGTGATCGCTTGCCAATGTCCTCAACTAACTTGTCTTCAATGATTTGGCAAGCGCGATGAAAGAAGTATTCTACCATATCGAAGAATCTAGGATTCGGTGCCTCGGGCACGTCTTTAAGACGGTCAGGTATCTGATGATCAGCATAACCACGGTAAGCCGCTGCTTGCCAGGCGACCGGTGCGACACGCATCAGGATTCTCTGCATATCATTACTCGATGCTTGCTTCAAGGCAATCGACGACCGCGTGAGATTTCGCAAATGAAACATTTTCGCTCGCGATAGATTATGCGACTATACGATAATGAGCGATAACCCGACGTCACCTGGCGTCGAAATCAAATTAAGAATAATTTTCACAGAACACAGTTCACAGTTCGTTGTCTACCGACTGCTGCAGAGTGCAGATCGCTTATGCATTTGTGCAAACACTGCAAACTGCTGCAGAACTCCGAAATCCGAAGTCTCACCTGCCGACAATGCCGACGTGCCGACTACTAGTGATTTATTTTAATAAAATAATTAGGGATAGGCGATGTTTCATCGATTATACAAAAATCGATGCTTCTTCCGCTCAACAATCGATGCTAGATTCGATGTTTCAGAAGTCGATTAATCGATACATCGATCTTTTTTTAGTGGCATCGATTAGTCCGGATCTACAATAGGTGTTTTAAGCCTTAAACCGTAAGAAATTGACCAATTACAGTCGAATCCGAGAAGAATAAACGACTGTGATTCGCCCATTTCTTATGGCTTAAGGGGCTATACCAGTGTGAAACTTTCAAAAAATCGAAAATTTATTATTTGTCTTATTCGATAGTTTATACTTTTAAGAATATCCTGTGAAATTTTTAAGGCCGTATCTCTAATCCGTTTCGAATGGCAGCCTTCTAAAGAGCAACCGCTCGCAGGTATAAACTGCTCCATCTACCTAGGAGGGGAGCGTCGGAGCTGATGTGCCGTTACCCGAATCTTTTGTATTGTAAACAGTACATAGGTAAGAAGAGAGGCTAGAAATATGTATACAGAGTTTTAAAATACAGTGTTGCCATTTAAAAGGCAACACATTTAAAAGGCTTGTTGTGGCACTTTGCTCCAAAGCACCTTCACAACGGCATGAAGACGATCAAGTTCGCTAATTTCCTTGCTGTCTCAATATTTAATGATGGTTTTTATAGCATTTTAAAAATGCTACAAGTAATGAACGTCATTATCGGTCCTATTGCAAAAGAATATGCCATACAGAGAGATGACAGCCGAATTAACCAGGTGGAGCTACGCCATGAAGCGTCCTCAAAAGAGCGACGAACAGCTCGGAGACAAGCTTTAGCCTCTCAGCAGGCATTATTCGAGGAGGAAGAGGGTCCATTGTATGGGCCAGGTATAGCTGATTAGCAGTTTTTATGGTAAATATAATTTTATCTTGCAAAAATCGTTAGTTTAATTTTTAAACGCGTTTTTCTCGAAATGACATTTTTCAAATTTGCTGCCATCGTAACTCAAAGAGCAATTATCCGATTGACTTCAAATTTGAACTGAGTACTCTTGAATATATTTACTCTACAATGACCTAGGATTTTTTTGATTGTATGAAAATTGACGATTTGGCATTTAAAAAAAACGACCATATTTTTGACCAAAAAAAATTTTTTTTTGATAACTACGCCATTTCGTTAAATTTTGATATTTTTCGAAAATCTACGTCATTGTATAGGAAATACCTTCTAGTTTAACGACTTTTTTTTTGTTTCAGCTACTCATTCGGCCGGAATCGTGGCAGCAGTGGAGGAACTCTTTTTTTTGGCGCCTTCGAAGACAGCGCATAAGTCGCTCATTTTTCAATATTTTTTGATAAAAAATATTATGGAATATAGTTTAAATATAGCTTAATATGCTCTTATATATTTAAAATATTTTATAAAGTATTTTTCTTTTAAAAAATTACCGAAAATCACCCAAATTTTCAGCGTTCACACTGGTATAGCCCCTTAAGGCTTAAAACTCTATTGTAGATCCGGATTTATGGTTGGCTCTCATTGATCGCGTTCAGCAGACTCAACTGTTGTGGAGCAGATCCATGAGCGCTCGCTGTTATTGGTGTATTCTTCTAGATCAGAGCAGTCAGCTAGTGGCTCGCGA